GTGAGTATGAACCTACCCTGCGCTGAGCTTTCTCACTCCTCACGGGAGGGTATCGTCATTCGACTCACGTATCGCGCGCTGCGTGCAGCATTCTTTCTCGCGAACTGCAGACACTCGCATGTCGACGGTCGGTTCCCGGCGAAGAAAACTAAATCATAGACATTCGCACACGTACACACACAAGCATAGAGACAGACAGAGGGGAGAGGTGGGGGCGGGGAGGGCGGGTGCGAGAGAGGCCGTTAAATATTTCATAGACATCTTCAAACGTCGTCGATCGTCGCTTCGCTCTCGCACATCCAATTCGATTCGAAATCGAGTGAACCGAATTCCATCGCGAATATTCCTCCGGATTGTCCTGGCAATTTTTCACGACTACATTTAAAGTGCCTGCGCCAGGAGAGAGAGAGAGAGAGAGAGAGAGAGAGAGAGAGAGAGACAGAGAGAGAGAGAGAGAGACAGAGAGAGAGAGAGAGAGAGAGAGAGAGAGAGAGAGAGAGAGAGAGAGAGAGAGAGAGAGAGAGAGAGAAAGAGAGAGAGAGTGAGAGAGAGGGGAGGGGCGTCCGCGCGCCAGAGGAGCGCGGAATTTCGTTTCTGTCTCACGACCGGTGGGAATCGATTTCGCGTTTTGTTCGCGATATCTGTACCGGTGTCAGACGCGGTGACTTATCAACAATGCTGAGGCGCGTACGTGCCGGAAGCGCAACATCTCCGCGCCATTGAATACCGCCGCGGCGGTCCGTGTCGGATATGAAATAAGTAACATTTCGTTTCTATAGCGCCGCAGATACTAATCTCGCCACCTCGCAGGCGAAACGCTCCCATTTCCCGCCGCTGTGAGGCACGTGCGGCCGATACAGAGAGAGAGAGAGAGAGAGAGAGAGAGAGAGAGAGGGAGAGGGAAAGAGAGAGTCGAAGCTATCCGTCCCGTTCGCTGCGAGGGAAACGCAGCCGCGGACAAAAACCCCTCGATTAGCATCGATGCGATTTCGCGGTCACAACGGCGACCCCGCGCACGCCGGACGGAAGCACGAGACTTCCGCGTCATTTTTGCGCGGCGCGTGTCCGCCGAGACTGCCGCGAGCGAAAGCTCGCCGGAGGATCGTCATCGCGAGTCCTCCTCGCCGCGAAAACGACGGCGAGGATAATCCCGCGAAAGTTGACTCGGCCGGGTCTCGCCGACCGATTGCAATCCCGTGATTAAACTCTGTTCAATCGCGCGATTAAGTTGACGGGATTGTCTCATTGTTATGTTACTACGCGGCATTCGACATTCGCTCGCTCTCCACGGTGCCATCCAGCACTCAATGGCGCGAGAAGTCCCGGAATTATCCGAAGAGCCATTACATGTCACTTATCCTGATTTACGTCGGAGCGTAGCGGGCGTGAATTTTCACGATAACAGAGTTATCGCGCTTGTAAGGAGGGTATAAGCGTACATTTTTCTCACACGTTAACGTTACACAGGACACTTTGCTCCGCCCCCAGCTGTTCGTCCTGTCATTTGTAAGCTCGTGATGATGCCGCCGATTATCTTCGGCGCGATTCAGCAATAACGGTCGTCACGACGAGGAAAGAACCGACAGGCGAGCGCGCACACAGTCGTTGCTCGCGCTACTTAAATAAATATCGCTATTTATACGAATCCTTCGGAGAGGAAAAAGCGAGCAGATTTTAACCGACACGCCTCGACACGTTGTTACGTTCCTAACGTATCTCCGTATCTCTCCAGCCCTAATCTGTTTACCCATGTCCCGAATTCCTACATTCCTACCCCTTTTCAAATATTGCTTTATGATCATATCTACTTTTACGATTCCATCCTTTTTTTCTTGATAGTAGTAGTTTCCTCTAAACTTCTCACGAAACCGTTAGTCAGTCTCCAGTTGTCTTCCTTCCCGTAAGGAACACCTCCCACTCCTCTCGTAGTGTATATTTAATACATGCTGGGTGTTTCAGACCACCCGAGTCACCCGACTTTTTCGTCAACGCGACATTTTGGAGAAAAATACTTCAGACAAAAGTTGTAGGGCTTCAAAGGATCTATTTACCGACGCTATGAATTTGGCCTTGGGATAACTCTGAAAAGTCCAGTCAAGATCAACAAAAATCTTAAATGGATACCCCAATTTTTTATTACATCATCTTTTTCTAGCAATTAATCTGAACAACTTTTGTCTGAAACATTTTTTTATTTACCTAACATTCTTTGAGATATTTAAAGAAAACTTGATAACTTTCTCAATATTTAACTCACGATATCTCGCTAATTATTCGTCAGAAGAAAGAGTGGTACTAGACTTTTTTGCTCTACTTAGTCTCAAGAATATATTTTTACAACAGCGCCCTGACTTTCGTTAACCTGCTGATCTTTGGAAATTTCAAAATCATCGAATTAACCAAATTCATAGCGTCAAATTCAAGAAGGTCAGATTCATAGCGTCAGTAAACAGATCCTTCGAAGTCCTACAACTTTTGTCCGAAATATTTTTCTCTAAAATGTCGCGTTAACGAAAAAATCGGGTAAATCGGGTAACCCGGGTGTGTCTGAAACACCCCGGTATACATAATTCGAATAAACTCTCCTCTCTATAAATAGTCTCTCCCCTATTGATGAAGAAATTATTATAATTATTACGTTTCGAACGTAACGTCGGAACGTAACAACGTTCGCCGTAGCCGGCGTTACTCACACGCCGTCCCTCTCGCGTGAACGGAATCGCCGAAAGCGCGTTCGCGGAAAATGCGCCCCTCCCTTGGCAGAATTCATTGGCGCACTTTCTCACTTTGTCGCCCGTCGCGCATATCCGAAATTCGGAAGAGCCGATCGACTGGCTTAGCCCCGGCCGTTTGACGGCTCCTAACCAAGGGGGCGTCGGCCCAATCGGGCTACATCGGTCTCCGGTCCTTTGAAGTCGAAGCCGGAACCTCGTTCTGAAGCGCAAGCGTAAGTTAGAGAGACAAAGGGCACTCTCGGGAGAGAGGGGGGAGGGGGTGCCAAAGATATCGGTGTCTCTGTCCTATCATCGACGAATTCGCAGTTATTGCGCGCCGCATCACCACAAAGAGATTTTACGATTGTAAGGCTGGCCCGCTCAAATTTGTCCCGCGCGCGCGCTTATTCTTCGTCGATGAATTGCGGCACGCTGAACGATTAACGGGAGCGCTCTCCGTCTTTATTGTCCGCTTAACAACCCCCGTGAACGTGAGATCCTCGAGCGAACGTGCAACGCGAGCCCGGAAATTCGCGGCGAGATGCGAGGCGCGAGGCTCTGGTTTTTCGATGTGCGAATAATAAGCGGAGCACAGGGCGGGGAATTAGTTCGCGGCGGTTCTGCCGAGTCCGCACTCACGACGATAATGCGCGTGCGCGCGCGACGTCACGGCAACCCTTGCGATTCTATTAAGCCAAGAATTCGTGAATAGAATCCGCCGACAACTTGCTTCATCGTGGATTCGTCGTGGCAGCGCGAATATTTGGGCAAAGTCCAACGGGCAGAGAGAGAGAGAGAGAGAGAGAGAGAGAGGGGGGAGGGAGAGGGAGGGAGAGGTCGCGTTACGGTACTTAGCGAAGCTCCGTTAATTGTATTAACGTTGGTCGGTTCACCCGGATTAAGACCCTGTTATAATCCCGCAGCGAGGCTGCTCCCTGCCCGCCAAATCTATTGTCGGGTCGCGTCCCGCCTAATGTTTCGGTCCGCCAAGATGACGGCTTGGCGAGGTGCTTTGCCGCTGCCGAGCGTGACGGAGAGACGGGCAGTGTCCGTCGCTATTTATTTACGTAATATATGCACATATGTAATCCATTTCTTCGAGATATATACATATGTATGTACATATGTAGGGATCGAACGCGTTACGGTAACGCGATGTACGGAAATCCCGAAAGTTGATCGCGCGTGTTAATCGCGTATTACCCGTAGCGAAATAACACGGACGACACGACCGTGGAAATTTAAGAGCAGCGTAACGGCGATATCGGTGCCGCTGTGTGTGTGTGTATGTGTGTGTGTGTGTGTGTGTGTATGTGTGTGTCGGCCGATCGCGATCAAAGGGATTTGCGTGTCATAAATTTCGTATCCTGCCGAATGAATCGATGGTTATTAATTATCCATCGCGTGTGAAACGAGCCGCTGAATAGGAAATGTCATCGCGAAATGGAGCAAGATGGGAAGAGTGCTCTTCCGCGATGAAAGGAAAACAATCCGCCATGTGATATTATCCTAAAAGACCTCTCTCCCCGCATTTCTGCTTTTCCCGTGACGTTCATTCAACTTTAAGCAGGCACGACGCGCAGCGCGCCGCCGCGGCTCTCACTCTCTCTCTCTCTCTTTCTCTCTCTCTTCCTGGGAAATGACGGACAGGGAAAATCATTATAAAATGCGCCCCGCCTCCCCAAGCCGCTTGCTGTGTGCACACGTGCAACCGCGTGTATTTTCGTTTCAATACGCTTCATTCATGCTCGCCGAGCATTACGCGCAAAGTCCGATAAAACAGAGAGGCGTCTAGCGGAGAGAGAGAGAGAGAGAGAGAGAGAGAGAGAGAGAGAGAGAGAGAGAGAGAGAGAGAGAGAGAGAGAGAGAGAGAGAGAGAGAGAGAGAGAGAGAAGAGAGAGAGAGAGAGAGAGAGAGAGAGAGAGAGAGAGAGAGAGAGAGAGAGAGAGAGAGAGAGAGAGAGAGAGAGAGAGAGAGAGAGAGAGAGAGAGAGAGAGAGAGAGAGAGAGAGAGAGAGAGAGAGAGAGAGAGCGGGTAAATGCAATCGCCGAGAGAAAGCCGGAATATTCCCGTTCAACATATAAAATCACCTTCCGCACGAGAGAGCGCACGCGCGCGCGCGCGCACAAGGACATTAATTTCTTATTATGCACGATGAGAAGAGCGCGAATGTCAAAGAACCGGGGCGAAATCACGGGAGAAATCCAAAGTACGGAGGTGGGGGGAATATCGTTAAATAAATCTGCCGTCTCTCCTTCCCCTTCCTCCCAACCCCTTAATATTTTC